CAGATTTGGAGGTGCTGATCCTCATTCCCGCTGCTTCAGACTCTGCTGCGAACCGTTCCAGTGCGAGCTGGAGGCCCTCACCCGATGAAGCCAACAGAACCACATCATCCACAAAAAGCAGAAATGAGATTCTGAGGCCACTGAAGTGAAAGCACTCCGGTGACAAAGGCCAGCCCTGGCGGAGCCCATCACCCACCAGGAACGAGTCCGATTTATTGCCGGCAATGCGAACCAAGCTCTTGCAAGGGTTGTATAGCGATTCACGGAGAGGACAAACAATGAGTAGTTATTCTACAAGAGATAGTCCGTGACTGTGACATTTGTCAGAGATATTGCAAAACCAAGCCGAGACCTGCTGTTGGTCTACCCCTGGCTTCTGAGTATAATGAGACAGTAGCGATGAATCTACATGAGCTGGAGCCCGACGTGTGGTACCTTCACATCATCGACCACTTCACACGCTTCAGTCCCGGCAGCATCGTAAAGACAAAGAAAGCTGCAGAGATCATCAACTTCTTCATTCACACCTGGATAAGTTTTCATGGTGCCCCCAGGCAGCTCTACACGGATAACGGCGGAGAGTTCGACAACACAGAGATTCTGGACATGGCTGAAAACCTCAACATTGAGGTAAAGACAACGGCGGGGTATAGTCCCTGGAGCAACGGACTACTGGAGAGACATAACATGACACTTACAGAAATCCTCCTGAAGGGAAAAAAGGAACGAGGATGTGACTGGCACACTGCGCTAGACTGGGCCCTTATGGCCAAAACAGTATGCTTAATATACATGGTTATAGTCCACATCAACTTGTGTTTGGCCAAAACCCCAACCTTCTTTCTGTGTTGATGGATAAGCCACCTGCCTTAGAGGGCTGAACATATATCAGCATTACATGCTTCCAGGAAAGCATTTACTGAGGGAGAGTGTTCAGAGAGGATCAGGAGAGCACTACACAAGCAACTTAGGCCTAATTTTAAAACTTAGTAGCAGCCGCCATTGTTGGCAGCTTAAATTTGGCTGGGCCGCGCTATGAATTCTGGGATATGGTGGGCCATGAAGGACACACCCGACCCATCCTTCAAATTCGGGAAAATGAAGGACGCATTTGAAGGAGTCGACGAATTGGGACAGCCTTCGTCGCCTGGTAATCGGCCTTCAAATGCGGCCTCCAGAGGATGCAGCCGACGTTTTGGGACACAGTGGAAGTGAATCAGGCCTTTATGGTCAAATAGCTGCAGAGAAACCAGGCCTAAGGAAAAGCAACAAGCAGAACAGATTTGTTTGGGCCAAGAAACACAAGGAACGGACATTAGACCAGTGGACATCTGTGCTTTGGTCTGACGAGTCCAAGTCTGAGATCTTTGGTTCCACCTGCTCGGTCTTTGTGTGACACAGAAAACTTTAACAATGGTCTCTACATGTACGGTTCCCACCGTGAAGCATGGAGGAGGAGGTTTGATGGTGTGGGCGGGCTTTGCTGGTGACACTGTTGGGGATTTAGTTAAAACTGAAGACAGACCTGACCAGCATGGCTACCACAGCATCCTGCATCCCAATGCTCCAAACGTGACTTGGAAAAAATGCACCACTTCTATTTTATTGGTGACTATGTGATGTCATTTGAACACAGTGCTAATTACGAAAAAAAAGTATCTTTTCTTATTTAACACAACTTTCTAAATCACACATTTCTTGTATGACAAGAATAGCATTTAAAGTGTTTCAACATATTTATCTGTTTTGTTACGTTTGGCCGGAGGTGCTGTGATGTGTGCCTCTTGCAACAGAGGGCGCTGCAGCATCCCCAGCACCCATATTTCCCATGGCCTTGCAAAGGTGTCATGGGAGACAGTAAACTTTCTGACATGTATCGATGTACCATCCTGGAGGAGTTGGACTACCTGTGAAACCTCTGTAGAGTATGGCTTTATGCAGCTAGTGGTGACCTGACCATTGCCAAGTAAAATCAGTGGAAAAAAACAAACCGTCAGAAAAGATGAGGAGGAAAAAACTGTCAGTGGCCTTCCTGTTTGGGGGTTGTGTCATTGTTGCCCCTCCACTGTAACTGATGTTAATGTCATTAACATCAAAACACCTGAAACTGATTAACAACCTCCAGTTACTTACTAGCTAAAGTCTCAAGTTTAATATGTCAGATCTTTACAAGATCTTTTGTCGTATGTCTCTCTGCTTTGCTTTTGCAGTATGATGTGGTTCTTTTTTTTTTTTTTTTTTGGCCTGTCCCGTTTGGCTCTTTTGCATCAGAATTGTTGTCTAAAGGCAAAGAAAGATGCCCAACGGATTTACTTTACCAAACTGACCATCCCAGCCTTGCCGTAATGGTCCATTTGATTCACCTTTTATTGTTTATTTTATTTTCACTTACTGAATACGGGACAGACTTGACTGGGGAAAAGAAAAAGGAGAAAGAAAGAGGGAAAGAGAAACAGCGGAGAAGAGGGACGGGGGAGAAGGGCAAAAGACAAAAACCAACAGAACGGGCAGAGAAAAAAAAAAGCATATATCAATCACCTGGATCACCTGCTGAGAAAGAAAAAAGAAAACAAGCAGAAGAGAACAAGAGTAATAGAATAAACAACATCACGATGATATATGGGAATATGACAGTAAATACTAAATGTTAAACATTATTGTGCAGCACATAAGATCAACAGAACACAGTGTGCTTTGAGGTAGGAGCCAAAAAGGGTGTAGTTTGTGGGTGTGATCACCCGTGTGTGCACCTGTGAGCATGGACGCGCTTGTTTTTTGTTTTTTTAAAAGGTTCCTTCATGTAATGATCTGCTAGAGGGTGTGGGGGGGCCACAGCCCTGTCCTCCAGGGTATGAAGCAGGTATGGAGGAGATCAAAACTCCAGACATCCAGAGGCCCCCAGAACACAAGAGACCAAGGAAGACCAACAGAGGGGCAGCTGCGCCACTGTCCCGGAAAGAGCTGAGGAGAGTCCCAGATGAGGGTTCACTCAGCAGCCGCGGAGCAGAAGCCAGGGGGGGTTGCAGTGACGCGCCCGTGAGCTCCGCCGGCAGCCAGCTGCGCCTGAGTGACCGAGCCCCAGGCCGAGAGGCCGGGGGCACCCCACCTCCGAAGTGGCCCGAGCAAGCCCCAGGCTCCAGGCCCCGATAAGCGGCCGCCAAGGAGTGAGCCGGTGTGTACCTGGACGCCCATCCCCGGACACAAAGAACCACCAACGCACCGATGTCTGAGGGGGTCCGCCACTGGCAGGGGAAGTGGTGGTGGGTGGAGATAGGCCTCCAAACCTTGGAGGGCCTGAGATGTCCCCAGAGAGGTGGCGCCTGACACCCAACCTGACATATAGACACAAACATCCATTCCCACCCTCATGCTCTCATATGCACTTACTCCACACTCAACCAACGTGGAGACAGACATAAAGAGACGCTGTACACACGATCACACTCCCCAAGCGTACTCTACAAACCGGGTCTAGGTGCCCTTGCCCCTGGAGGGGGGAACTGCACCCAGATGTGGTTCTTAATCTTTTGCTCCGTGAAAACATCATTATTGAGCTCTTCAGCCAAATACTGAGCCTCTGAAAATAATTTGAATAGAATCGTCAGTAATCCCTGCACAACAGTTTTGTTAAAGCTGTTGAATAAAAGCTGAAAATCTGCATGACTTAATATTACAATCTAACAAATCAATTACTTTGCGTGTGTGTGTGTGTGTGTGTGTGTGTGTGTGTGTGTGTGTTTGAGGGTACAGGTGGGGCCCATTTTGAATATTTTTCATTACTTCTGTTTGTTATCAAGATTCTAAAATGTGCACTTCAATTGGTGGCAGCTCTGGTCTTTACTCAAACCTTACGTTATTTATTTCTATTTATTGACTTTTTTGTCAAGTACTGATGGATACTTTTGTTGTGAGAAGACATTTTTTCATTGAAACTGTGCAAATCTGGAAAATACCACCCTATTTCAACTGAAATAAAGAGTTGTTTTTGTGGTTGCAATGCTGCTGCAGGGATAAAGACACGTACTAGAGATGCACAAATTAAGCTCACTAATTTATTCAAAACAGATTAAAAGGATGCTTAAGCATTAACGTGTTTGCAGGGACAGTCTGGCGGCACTACATGACCTTCATATACTTGCTACTTAATGCAGAAAGGTGTAGGAAGGATGGCTCCGCCCTAGAAGGCTGAGGTGTAAATGAGCCCAACCATTTCACCTAAGAGTAATTAACAAAGACGTGGAAGACAGAGAGAAACAAAACCTCTCCACAGTTCTGCCAAACCATAACAGTATAATGTGGGGAGGCTAAGTGATATCCAGGGTGGGTGGGGGAGATGGGTGAAGAGAAACTGAATCTTTTTGGTTCTAGTTATTGAAAGTGAGCTGTCGTGGCTTACTCCTTCAACTCAACCAGGGCCATAAGTTTCCCAGTCCCCAAAAAACCTCCTCAAGCTCTTTCTCCTGTAAGATGTCTGGAAATGAATAAGAAAAGGAAATGAAATACACCTACAGACCAGCAGAATGAGCCAAACTGTGATGTTTACCCAACATGAGCAGCAATGTTACCCTCGCTACAGTAGAGTGTGTTACTTGGGTATGACTTATTGGTCTATTATTTGACTTATCTACGTGTTTTGCTTAAGGAAAATAAAATAGAATAAACATAGACAGGACGACTATGGGGATGTACAGAGCTTCTGTCATTTTGTATTCTAATAAGTGGAGGAAAGCACTGTGCAACATGCAAGCAGGTACAAAACAGAGGAGTTCTGCTTCCTGTGAAGGCAAATTGGTGTTATCCTCATCAACCAGTGAACTCTAATGCCATATGTACGGAGACATTGGAAGACACCACTCGCACACACTCTGCAATCGGTCAGCTTCATTACTCATTACAGTGTGTGGCTGTAGGGGGATGAGGCCAGTCAGCAACATGTCTGACTTTCCGAAGTTTCACAAATGGATCCCAAGCAAGCACGTACCAAACACGAGCTTCGGTATTCTAATGTGCATTTATTACACGTTTTAAATAAATAAATCATCCGTAAAATTATTTTACACATCCTCAAATAAAAATATATTTATATATGTATAAAAACAGACATTCAGCGAGCAACGAGAAGACAAAGGGTTAGGGGATGTGTCCGTGGATTACACTTACACTTCAATGCATTTTGTACACATCGAGACAAAACAGTCAGAACACAAGCCTGTGAATATCAAGTATAGCTGCCATGTTGTTCCATTCAATGCTAGTGAATGTCTGTTTGGTTGAACTGTGTGAGCGAGATAATGAGCAATCCCAGTCAGGACGCAGCGCCCAGCAAAAAGTGTGGACTGCAGTGTTACCAACAAATAATTCTGATTATAGTCCTTGTTGCCTCCTGTACACTACGAGACAGTTTGTGTGTCTGAATATAGCGTTCCCTGGCAGTGAGGTCAATCAGGGTCCTTCAAGTCTCCTTGAGCAGCAGGCAAGAGTCCAAGAAGTGACTCCACTGATAAAAACAACGAACAATAATCAACACAGGGCACTCTACTAAAACGATATCCTCAAAAAGTCAAACACTGAGTCATGAGGATTAAAAACAAACTTTTCTTTTCCTTTACTTTTTTACACAAGTCAGTACTAAAAATCCGGAGTACAAAAATATATGTTTTTTGTCTTTGTGTGGCTTTTTTTACTTTACAAAAAATAAACTACTCATCAAGGTATCATATTTATCAGTATAAAACTGTCTCCAGAGGTTTTTGGGGAGAGAAGAGAAATCCAGTCAGGTTCTCCTTTTTCTCTGACTTTTCCGTTTTATTCTCTGACGGGTATCACGTACGCTTAGTCCTTTGACTGAAAGGGTAGTGGATGAAGTCAAAAGGCCGGTGGTGGCTCGGATGGGTGGGCTGGTGCCCCTTTGGCAGCCTCTTCATGAAGTGGACTTCACGTTGGTGCTGGCGTGTCCGTGAGCCCTTCCGTGGACGCCCCCGCCGAGTGAAAGCCATGTACCAGCCCTCATAACGGACGTTCTTCAGCGCCGTGTAGTTGTTCTCCAGAACGATTTCGGTGAAGATACAGTCACGGCCTTGTCCGTTTTTCTGCAAAATCACAAATGACAGAAAAAAGAGGATATTCACAAAAGATGTTAAAGATTTGCAGAATGAAAACCTTCCCCTCAAATGTGCAGCGTATGCTACAGTCATTACAAATCAAACAGAGGAAGATCACTATTCTCCCCCTTCAACAGACCTCCAGCAACCCTTGTGGGTCAGTTGCAGCAGCGCACACCTTCCTGTCATAAAGCCTTAATCAGACCCTAAGTGTCACTTTCATTCCAGGTTTGACTTCCTGTTGCATTTGTGGTTAAATTTAACAGCTCTGGTCAGCCAGAATAACAATCAGTAGATGCTTAAACACACATCACCCCCAGGTCTGCAGAGTTCAGTGAATCCCATTGAATTTAAGTTCCAGGTTACATCAGGTCTTTACGACAATAAAAGGCAGGCTATGAAAGATGGGTGACGTATGGATGAACGTGTGATGTCCAGTTGGTAACATCATAAAGTAAAAAAAGATGAGACAAAGTGTACAGTGTAGTTCTCTGAAACTGCACTAGCACGCAGTCCTGGCCTACTGTACAGAGTGTGTTAAAAATAGTCCTGGCACACTCCTGTACACACACTGAAAACACACACTTTCTGTCAATTCTTCAACACAAGCACACACACGCATATGCACGCACACATATACTGCGGGTGAGGTAGGTGGTGACTGGGCCGGTAGCTTGGGGCAGATGGTGTTCAAGGTAGGGTGCTGGGTGGGTGGAGCGTGTGTGTGTGTGGTAGGGTTACAGAAAGGCTGGCAGCTCTGTTTATTAGCCATCACAGTGAGAGAGGTCAGGCAGTCACCCACTAAGACACATCTCACATGACAACGTTAAATGCAGTATTGTGGAAGAGTCTTGAGCCAGCCCGCATTTCTTTATTTCTAACCCTTCCAAAGAGCCAGACTTTTGTAACTTTTAAAAGTGGTCCTTAGTAATAACTCTATGGGCTTTCCGAAGGTCTTCTTCAGTCATTTTCAGTCTGTCTGTTAGGCCACCTAACACTGACCTATGAATAATACGAGCATAAAAAAGGCTAAACCAGCGTTGTATCTACAAATAACGGCCAGCTTCAAAAAGAACCAGTTTTTCAGTTGTATCTTTAAGCATGTTGTTACTAGCAACCATTTACAAAAACACATAGTTTGTTTCCATGTCTTTTGTTGAATCTAAATGCCAAAGATAACAATTTAAGAACCATAAAGTAATAGTTGTGCACCAACAAGATGATTCCCAAAGAGCTATTAAGTGAAATGTTGGCATATCTCAGCATGGTGTGAAGAAATAGTTGAAGAAACTGGACAAGTGGAGGATAAAAGAAGAAGTGGCACATGTAAAAATATCTGCAAAACATGAGCAGATGAACGCCATGTCCTTCAGAATCAGGAAAAAAAAGAACCCAGATGTTCCTGTCTACTATACCGGCCACTGGGTTATGCGTATATGCCCTGTGTGCTAGCGTCTTGCATCCTGTGGTTGTGTGCTGGATTGTCTCCGGGGTATCTGCACAGCCTGCTCCTGGGCTCTTGTCTGGTGAGTTAGGGTCCAGCGTCTATAGATCTTGTGCTTACAGTTCGTTCTTGTGCTGTTTTGATTCGTGCCTCTGTGCTGTCTTTCAGTCCAGCTTTCTTCAGCCATTAGTAGCATGTTTCGGTATCAGCCAGTAGTACGTGCCGTGCAGGGGCTCGTCCTTCTATGATGGTTCCTGTTCTTGCTTCTCTTCTTTCTCTGGTTTTTGCTGCCTGACATATTCACTAAGCACCCGATCAGTTGTGGCCATCTCCCTGGTGTACTCATTGGTCTTTGTTGTTTTATCCTAGTGGTTTTGACACTCACTAGTCCTCGACCTCCTTCCTTCCACTTAATGTACAGCCTCAGGGTGATGGACTTGGGGAGAAACCCTCCTTGCATGGTAAGGAGCTTTCTTGTCTTAATGTCACAGGGTGCTATCGCTTCCTCTGACCAGCTTATTATTCCAGCAAAGTATCTGATGACCATCAGGGCATTGGTGCTGATTGCCCGGTTGTTGCTTTTCCAATTCAGCTGACTCCTCAAGACAGAGCAGAGAAGACCAGTCGCTGCACCACCGAGATTTACTACAAGAAAGCCTTTGATTCAATCCCTGACACGGGGATCCTGGAATGGCTTGAACTGTACAAGACCAACAGGGCCCTAAGAACCTTCATCAGGAATTCAATGTGGTGAACAACACTACAGGCCAAGTTCAAGACAATTGCACAGGTCACCATCAAGTGCAGGATTTACAAAGGAGGAGCCCTGTCCCCACTGCTGTTCTGCATAGGCCTGTTCTGCCTCAGTGAGATCATTATGGATACTGACTATGGAATGGTGCAATCGTTAGCTGCCTTCTCTACATGAATGACATCAAGCTGTATGGATCAAACTAGGATCTACAGCAACAACATCGGAATGTCATTCGGATCGGAGAACAACAAGGAGAGGGAAGGTAATCAGAACTGAGTGGATTGCACTACCAGAAAGCATACACTGAGGACAGCTACAAGTAGCTGGGAATCCCACGGGGAAATGGAAACCATGAAGAGGAAAGCCACAACCACCAAAAACCTGCAGAGAGTCAGGCAAGTCCTGAGGAGTCAGCTGAATGGGAAGAAAACAATCTGGGCAATCAACACTGACTGCTGGTCATCAGATACCCTGCTGGGGTAATAAACTGGCCAAAGCAGGACAAAGAAGTTACTGACACCTCCCAAGACCCCAGAAAGAAGAGGAGTTAGAGGAGGAACCATCGTGGAAGGACAGGCCCCTACACGGCATGTACCACCGCCAGATCTGTGTTCTAATCAGTCTACTAAAAACTCACTTTAATACATTTAGTTCAGTTTTAAAGTTTTGAAATCACTTCAGTCTCAACTTCACACCAGCTGGTGCAGGTGCAGCAGGAGGGGAGGAGTCAGAGAGAAACTCAGTTCGTAGAAGAGAACCTGCCCGCGAGCAGGTTACGTCGCAGCGTCTGTTACCCTGGTAAGTGACTCAGGGTTAAAGTTAACTCTCGTTCTGGAACTGAGAACCCAGAATTCCCCTCATCTCGGGTCGTTAGCTAAACCTGTTTCCTGGAATAGGACCAAAATGCTTTTGATACCCATCAGCAAGCTTCTAACATAATTCTGGTTGGATATTTGACCACTTTTCTTATCTGGCTGGTTTACTGGTATGAACCTGACTTTTAAGTATAGTCCACATGCCCATGTATAGCCCATGTTAATGTCAGCCTAGTTTATTTATTCCAAAACCAGTTTTTATGTGTGTTTGGGATCATTGTCCTGTTGGAACACCCAGCTGTGTCTGAGTTTCCAACATCTGTCGATATGATGTAAAGTTAAAGAATTAGGAGGTAATCCTCTTTCTCCTTTATTTCACCCATTTTGTGCCACGTACCAGTATCACTGGCAGTAAAACAGCCCCAGTGAATCCTGCTTCAAGCTAAGCTTGAAGGTGTTGTCACAGTCTCCGTCCATGGCAATGTAAAGCTGGTTTCATTATGGGCGGTGATGCTGGCATTGCAGCAGCTTTCACTTATGGCAGGCTTGAGTCCTGGTTGTTCCTGAATATCCTGGGCAAATTCTTTTCTATCTGAGGACAAAAGTTTGGGTTTCTCCTGGGACTTCCAGAAAGATGACACATCTAAATCACTAATTACATATAACTGCTTGAACAGATGATCATGGAATCTGCAACTGTTTAGAAATGGCTCCAAGAGACCCTCCCACTTTGTGCAAATCTTCACTGAGCTCCTTAGACACATTGTTACAAGCGTTGCTCTCAAGCAAGTTATTTTTATGTTGCAAAGAGAAACTACCAGCTGTAGTCAGTCCTGATCACTAATGTGATTTTAAAAGGCCTGGGCCTTGTCAAATTAAAAGACATAAGTGAGTGTGCATCTATATTTGAGTCCATACGATTACTTTTGGCCATGTGTGGATTGGAGAAAATCCCAAATAAATTCAAACCCAATTCTTGTTTTTTAAAATGATTGAAGGTGTGTTCTGTACATTCATTCCACTTTGGAAAATCAACAGTTCAAAGAAACTGTTAAAAGCAAATTTACCATAACATTTATAATAATTGTGTGTACACTTCCGGCCACACAGCGTATGTTTTGTCAAAACTGTGGGAGTGTATTCAGTCTGGACTATTTTCAGCTGTTGATGCCAGTGTCATTATAACTCTGTATTGACAATAAATTACCTGTAAAAATGCAATAATGATAGTTTAACATTAATGTATATATTTAGATAATTCATTGTCTATGAAAAAAGCCTTTTGTAAAGCTTGGACATCTTATTTACTTTAAAATAAGTTTAGTCAGGATCACATAAAGTCAGCTTCAGTTATCAATGAGTCCATGAATTTCTTTTAACCACATATTCATAGTTGTCCCACAGATTTATCTTTCTGTACAGCAACTTTAAAAAACTCCTCGTATTGATATCGACACGTCTCTGTGATTAAGCTTTCTGAGTAAACGTCGATAATTACTTTCCCACTATTACTAGACTTGATAAAGTGTTTGGTTCTGTGCTCGTCCTGTTGCATTAAATAATGTTGACCACTGTTTGATCAAAACTCAGATTATTAAACTTTTCCCTAAACCAGCCAACCAGTGGAACCAGCTCCCAGTTTGGACTGGGTTGACATCCCTACTTTTAAGAGTACACTTAAAGGTTTTCCTTTTGATGAAGCTCGCAGTCGGGGCTGGATGAGGTGATGCTGCAATGGGACTTGGCTGCTGGGGCTTCCCATGATGCAGTGTTTCTTTTTCACTCTTCATGTGTTTGGACACCACTACTGTATGTAATCATTAGTAATTAATTTTAAACCATGGGTCTCTTTCCCCTCACCCCCACAGGCAGCCTCGTTCTGCCTGTTTCTCTTTGTTACAGGAAACTTTCCTTCCTGCTTGCTCATGGGGTTGTTAGGGTTGTCTCTCTAATATTGTGGGATCTTTACTGTATAATATATGAATGTGAAATGAAATGGGATTGCACTGAACTTAATAAAATAATGTTATAGATTAGCTTGATTGATAGAATTAATCAATTAGTATTATTATTTTTTCTAATGCGCCATTAATTTTATGATTTTTTTTTTTTGACCAGGATAATAGTCACTCTGACATTTAGTGTGAGGAAGAAGCTGTTTCCAGGTTTAGTCTTTGTTTTGCTTTTAATGCGATTTATTCACAGAAAAAAATAATGAAATAAAACGAGTAAATCAAAAATGACTGTTGCTGATGTCATTGATTAAAAGCATCACTAATATGGAATAATTTTCTTTAATGTGACAAACAAATGACTTGTTCTCTGACATGCTAGGCCATTTGGACCCTGGATACATGACCCTTTCAGTCATATGGTCAAAGTCTGATTCTTTTATATCAAAGAAATCTATTTTATTTCTCTGATCTCTGCAAATTTCTCTTGAGGTCTGCTTAAAGCAGTGGATGGAGCAGTATTTTCTTGAGCTGTACTGCTCCATCCATTATCATTTAGAATCAGCTAGTGAGTCGTTGGAGCATGAGCTGGCTGAAATCAGCTTTGAGCCTCACCTTGCCAATGAGCTTCCCTCTCTTGTTCATGCAGATGTATAGGTCAGTCTCAGCTCCCCTGATGCGCACTCGACTTCCAAAAGTATCTGTTTCCACAATGAGTTTAGCTACAGAGATCAGACAAAAGAGTTCAGTCAGCAACTACAACACAGAGATGGTTTCTGTGCCTTTTGTTAGACATTTTGCGTAAACATTAAATTCTGAATAAATGACTTTGCAGACTATGCAACCAGAAAAAATGAATCAAAAACACACACAAAAACGCTTGCATGTATTTCCAAGCATACACACTCTCATTCACAGGGAAGCCTATGGGACCATTCCTGGGGATTCATGCAAGTTGGAATTTTTGCAAAATGATAAAACCACGTGTCTCCTGAGCCTTTGAAACCTAAAGAGGCGATCCTGGCAGTCTCATTAAGACTCCCTTTTCAAATAATTCAGCACTGACCTCATGCATAGAGCGGCACATTTATCTCTATATCCTGAAAAGTACTGAAAGACATAGGAAATACAGGATTTTCATGTTTATGTTACTTTTTTACCCAAATACAAAAAATATTAGTAAATTCTCCTGTTGAAATAGTGCACCGTATTTCTATATCTCCTGGGTTTGCAGTGCATTCCTCTGACATTCACACACATATTATTTCAGAGCACCTTAAGACAACAGCAGATTGTCTATAACATTAAATAAACAATGTTTCAACAGTCACATTGTTTTAAATAGATTAACTATTGAGAAGCAGCAGTTACAGCTGAGCTGAACGATGGGCAGAGAGAATGTAGAAAGCACACAGACTTCCCCTTTCTCACTTTCTCTTTCATTCAAAAATGTACTTCAGGTGATCCTAGTTCGGACACACACACACACACACACACACACACACACACACACACACATTCTGCAGCAGCAACATTTTAGACTCCTGTACAGACAGTAGTAAGAAGGACACTAAACACTATTGATGCTTAAAGAATAAGTAGATTAGCTCCATGGAAGACTCGAAATAAAACAAAGAGTGTAAAGCTCGATGAGGCCCATTAGATTCTGAGGCAGGACAGAGAAGGGTTAAAGGTGGGGGCTGACATGGGAGCAAGAACTATGCAGGAAATGTTCAGGAGGCATAAGTAGGATGGCTTCTAATAGCTCTTCCAGATCTGCATGATCTCTAGAGGATCGCCTCCAGCACCATCCACAGCCAACTGGACAATTTTTCTAGGCCTCTTCCCCTCGAATAGTACAGACTGAATTCAGATAGAGTGCAAAGAGGCTACAAGTAAGTAACTCAATACTAAGTAAATAATACTTAGTATTGAGTAAAAAAAGAAGATAATGTTGATATCGTTGCCTTTCTTGGGAAATTTAAGCATCTTCAGACAAGACAGAAACACACGGCTCCGGGATTAATGATTGAAACGAACTGACACATTTATAATGCACGTAATGTACTTGACGATGTTTAAAGGATCTTACTCTTTTAAAATAATTTCAGACATTTAAATACAAAAGGTGATTTTGCAACTATGTTAATGTTCTCTCTTAATTTCCATATAGTACAGTGGCCCACCTTTCACTGTTAACATGGTTGAATTACAGTGAGAAACAAAACCAAACAAACAATTGTGAAATATGTCAAATACTTCGGAAGCTTAAAAAAGAATGAACCAGGTTTCATTTGTAAGACTATAGTTTGATAAGCACAAATTATGGTAATGTTTAAAAGTAACTGAAATCTACCTAAATGAACGCAGATAAATCAGGTTCCGCGGCCTCTGCGCTGTGTGAAAGCGATTTTAGAGAGTTGTCGGTGCAGTTATTACAGCAGGAGTTACTGGATTTCTCTTACCGTGCGCATCTCCATCCTCGGCCATGGCGTTGATCTTCTTGTTGGGCAGGACCTGTACATGTTTGCCGCTGGTCCGGCTGTAAAGCTGGTAGATCCGGATCAACCTGCGGCTCGTGCGGTCCGTCACTTTGCTCTGTTCGCTTACATGCTGCGTGAAATTAGGCGGGGACTGATTGGTTACCTGTCAGAAATTAGACGGCATTACTTACTTATTTATTTAAAATTTACAAGGTCGGTCGCGCGGCTTCGGGTCGTTGACGGGACTGAAGCGCAGAGAGAAAACGCGTCCGTTTGTTTTTCTCACTTCTTTCTTTCTTTCTTTGGGTTTTTTGTTTGTTTGTGTTTTGGGGTGGTGGTGGGGGGTAACTGTAACAAGTTCCAGAAGAGCGGCTGCCAGATGAAATTAACAGGTTCCAAAAAGACGCACGGTGTGATAACAGGTTGTGCATACAGGAGAATGCGCGCCGCAATGCCCAGAAGAAGAAGAAAAAAAGACGTCGTATGATTGAAATAAAAGCTCCACTACTCATTCATCATGGTGTGAAATATTATGAAACTACTTTAACTTCGTTCTTAATGTGTGTTTTTCTTTCACTGCACTCTCTCTCCGTCGCGTTCCGCTGTGATGGAATGAGTGGAAGTAACGGAAACGTTGGATCTTTCAACCCCCAATCTGTGCCCGAGCATCTTGTGCCAGGGCCAATATGTTCATCAGCAACCTGTCAGCAGGCCGCGCGCCGTGGGAGCCATTCGATACTGCCGTATTACAACATGTTATGTTACCTTTCCCCCTCTCTTTATGATTGCTGCGCATCGCTCGCTTGGACTGACGGTTTTTAACCTAATTCTTATTTTTGCAACTAAAATAATTTGCAGTATTTTAAAGACAAATTGTAGTAATGACATACCTGCGCGTAGTAGAACAATGCAAATAAGTGCAGGAACCTGCAAAAGAAAGAATACCGTGCATTCAGTGACTTAATACGGGGCTGCGTGGAAAAACATTAATAGTGCGTAAAGAGTCGAGGTTAAGCAGGACAGCACTCACACACAGCTGAACCTGGATGGGATGGGTCGCATGTTGGATGAAGTCAATTTTTACTAGGATCCGTTAATAAGAGCACACAATCTACAAAATAAGCAACCAAGTCCAAAGATTTCAAAGGGATCCAGAAAACGGTCAGATGCGCTGACAGACAGGTTTAAAAAAGCACAAGGGACACATTCTTCATTACATCTGTGACCTTCGCCGACAAAATCTTGCTCAGTTGAAACGGCAGTTAGTGCTCATAATGTGTCACTAAGGTATAGCTGCCCGCGTCTGTCACAGAGCTACCCAAAGTGCACTTGGAGAAGAAAAGCTCTGCGATGAAGTTTCTTTCTTGTTTCTACGTACAGCCCGTCACTATATTCCTCCTGCTTTATAAATCCTCGTGGGTCCTCTACGGCCTTCAGGTGTGTTTGCAGAGTGAGCTTACTCGGTGTTGTTGCACTGGCTCGATGCTGCAGCTCCGCTCGGCTATGGCTGGACTACAGACAGGACTCTCCTCTCTCTGCTCTCATCCCGCAAAGCTCCCGTGTCAAGCCTCTCGCTCAGTGCTCACACACCCCCGGTAAAAATGGCAGACTGAGAACAAGCCCCCTTTTTCTACAGAACAAAAGCGACCCCCCACACCCCCAGCCCCACTCTTTCCTCCCTTGCCTTGATGCGAAACATCTCTTTACCTGAGTAGCGCTCCGGACTTTGTTGAGGAACAAAGAGGCGAGGAGGAGCCCTGGCTGCCCTAGGGACTGCATGAAAAATTAAAACCACCAAACAAATACAGTAAATTACAATAAGGCATCAGGGTGATGAACACTTTTCTGCGGGCTTTACCTGTTTGTCACAAAGGCGATTTGATGACCCCGCAGACGCTCGCGTTGATCAGTTCTGGGATGCAAACATTGAACAAACAAACCAAAACAAAAACACCCAAATACAAATACAAACAATTAAAAAAGAAAACAAAATCTGATAAAGACCACAGCCTCTCTTTCCTGCAACATTTAACTAGACTGCAGTGACTATCTGGCTTTTAAAGCCTTAATCTCATGGCAGAGGGAGACATTGGTTCATTAAGGCAAAGCAGACAGCAGCATGTGACCTTCGCACCTCACAGCCTCCCGAGTTATATTTAAGAAAGCCCTTAAAGACTTAAAATGGCCAGTGAGAACTTTATATTGCTTTGATGTGTGAGGCGGTTGGATGAGGAGGTGCGGGTTAATTAGATCAGGTGGAGTCATTCCTCTTTTTTTTAGATTATAAGTAATGTCCAGGTTTGCTCTGATGAGTTTTTGTTAAGAACACCCTTAAACCTCATTAGACCAAAGCCCCCCAGCCACTGAAAGAAGATGGTTTCAGTGAAGCATGTCATACAGACTGAAGCCACCAGTGGGTGCTGCAGCAGAAATTATTAGGTGTAGGAAAACACTGGTTGCCCCCAGTGTTCGTAGTGACAGTATACTGAATGACAGTTTAAAAAGAGAGTGACATTTCATCTATTATCTGCTCTACTGACAGGCTTCATGTTGGCACATAGTTTGTTTTTCTGTTTCCTCCCCTCCCTCTCATTAGCCTCCTCTGCTCCGTGGATGTGCGCACATGTGGATATACATCTGTGTGCAGCGACAAGTTAAACATGTAACCTCAGTTGAAACATTACATGGGTCAGTGTGTGAGGTAATGTGTGTATTGTGGCTGAAAACTGTAATAAAACTTTTTGCATGTGTCCTTATGTGTATTTGTGTCAGTATTTGTGTCAGATGAGTGGCAGGTAGCTGCTATTCTGTGTCCTGGCTCAGGGTCCTGTTGCCCTCCCCTTAACCCTGGGGGCCCTGCATCCATCAGCAGCCCTGCAGGGGGCAAACACCCTTCCCCCTTTTCTCTTCCTCTCTCTCCTCTTCTTCCACTTGTGATCACAGACACACCATTGCATTTATGAAAGCGCTGTGGTTTGAAGACGGTGGAAATGCTAGGAGTTTTATTGGGAGAGACCGGAGACGACAGGATAAAAAAATGAGTATATTGGAGGGACAGGTCAGGTTGAGGAGTTTGGAGACAAAATTAGAAAGCCGAGGTGAAGATGGGTTGAACATGTACAAAGGTGGGATAGCAAATATTTTGGTCAGAGAAAGTGAAATATGGAGCTGCTGGCCAAGAAGAAAGGAGGAAAACTGGTAGTGCAGAACTTGCAAAGAGTTGGTCTGACTGAGGAGGATGCTGGGATGGCAGCGGATGCTGTGGTGACCCCTGAAGACAGCCAAAAAAAGAAGATGACGAAGTCTCAGGCTTTTCAGGGACCCCCTATCACCCCCTCTATCCTTTTCACTACTAAACATTTGCCTTTATTAGATGTTGTTAACTTTAGTCTGTTATTTGCCAAAGTTTATGTGCTTGTTTGTGGTATCACTTTTTCTTCGTTCCTTCAACATTTAACCAGCCTTGACAGATGAGTGCCTTCCTAAGCATCTTCCAGTAATCAGATCAGTGTCTGTGTTCAACATATGCAGGGTATCTTTCTGTTATGTAGATTCACTTCCCCTAACATTGGCGATCAGGATCAGTTACAAAAAAAGATCAGTCAAAACCACAAACAAAACAAAACAAAACAAAACAAAACAAAACAATCATTAACATTAGGTAAGTCCTTGTTAGAACGTGAATTAATAGTTGATCAACGTATGGATTCACTCTGCCTTACAGCAGGTTACCCCTGAGTCCTACCAACTGTCACAATTAACAAGTGGCATAGAAACATTTAACAGTATTCCACAAAAACCCTCTTTTGTCTGATTATTTACTAATTAAATTTAAATTTACAATAATGGATTATGCCAGTCTCTCACAGCAGGCCTACTTGTTGTTCCTAGAGTATTTAAAAGTAGAATGGGAGGCAGAGCCTTCAGTTTTCAGGCCCCTCTTCTGTGGAACCAGCTTCCAGTTTGGATTCGGGAGACAGACACTATCTCTACTTTCAAGATTAGGCTTCAAACTTTCCTTTTTGCTAAAGCATATAGTTAGGGCTGGACCAGGTGACCCTGAACCCTCCCTTAGTTATGCTGCAATTGGCCTACAGTTTCATGGTCCTCCCTGGCTCCCTGCTGGAGTTTGGTCCTTTTGCTTCTTCTCTTTGTTTATTTTTGTTCTCTCTGTCTGGCCTTTGGCCAAGACACCTGGGCCCTATTTCAGGAAGCCGGTTTAGAAAACTCAGAGTGAAAAATGATACTCAGGGTTGAGTAACCCCGAACTGTCCAACTCGGAATATTCGGTTTCAGAAAGGCTGATAACAATTAGTTCAGTCAACGCGGAGTTGCTTTAACCCCAAGTTAAACGCGCGCACGAGGATACATAAAGCCCTGATTAGTGGAGCACAGATTAAGCGAGTCACCATGGAAACGGAGGGAAAGAAGGCGCGGTCAATGTATTTTACAGCGCTTGAGGCCGAAATTCTGATGGCAGCATATGCCGATAACATGCAAATTCCGCGGAAAAAAGTAACACAGCCTCAGCTGCAAAAGAAAGTGAGCATGCATGGCAAAACATAGCCGACAGAGTCAATGCATGAGTGTTAATATAAACATTGATCTAGGGATTTCCACCCATTTAACACGTTATTTTATTATATTATTTTATTTTTTATTTCATACATTTTATTTTGTGATGTGAGCGCAGGTGCAACCCAACAGGCCCCAAACGTTCCTGGCAGCAAGTAAAAATGAAATATAAAAATATAGTCCAAACAGGTAAGGTGTAATTGTATTATGAGCCATAGTGCTTGGTCTGTTTGTCCGATGTAAATCAATTGCAGTTAGAGGCTACATTAATTTCCCCTCTGTAAGCACTTATTGAAATTATCTGAGCACATTACAAGTACATATTTGCTTACTCTGTATGCTCAAATGTGACCCGTTATAGCCAACAGAAAAAAAGCGGAGGCCCGAAAAACAGGTGGGGGTCCTCCACCACCACCACCACTCACAGAGGCTGAGCAGTTGGCTTCCACATTTGTGATAATGTTGGCAGCATCACATATGATCTTCACAGTGCAGAGAACACAAATTAGCATCCATTACTATAATGAAATAATTTGTTAGTTTGAAATGCTACAGGGAACTATGTACCTGCACATTAATGCTGTGGAAAGACTTCCTGTTCACATAGTCTCCTTCATTTACTGAAGGAGCAATGATTGGAATGTGAGTGCCATCTATACAGCCAATCACGCCTGGGAACCGTGAGAATAAATGTAAAATTTAAGTAGTAGTCCAAGTATCACCACATCATGAATTAAGTTTTGTTCATCCTGATACCTGCAATTTTGTGGCATCCCTCTTTGATAAATCTTGTGGGTCTATGACCGGGGAACACCACAAACGAGTACAGGAGACGTTTCAGTGCAACTGTAACATTCCTGACTGCCCGACAGACGGTAGCCTTGGAAACGTGCAGCGTCACCAATATTATACAGAAAGCTCCCGTTTGCAAAAAACCGAAGTGCAATACAAATAATATGCAATGAACTGAGAGCATGTCCGCGATGTGTCACATGAGCAATATTAGGCCTGAGGATGTTATTCAAATAAATTATCGATTGTGCTGAAAAACGGTAACGTTCACACAGGAAATCATCAGGAAATGATAAAATGTCCGAACGCGCTCTAATCACTCTCTCCCGGCGGAGAGCTCTGCGGAGAATTTGGGCTTCAACATCTACTGGCTCTTCAAGGAAGGAGCACGCCATGTCTGACACTTCCTACAGTCAGGTTTCTGACAAAGAGGCGGAGAAGGTCAGGGTTAGTTGAAGTAAACCTGCTAGGGGGCAGGTTAGCTTCACGGAGTGTGTCGTCATAGTAACTCACTCAGAATTAATCTAAACTCGCTTTGTGAAACCGAAAACCCAGAGTTTCCGTTAACTCAGGGTATACTTACTCAGATTTTGCTCTAAACCGGCTTCCTGAAATAGGGCCCTGCTGACAATTAGCCACCTGCAACTGACACCTGACCTCATCACTGCTGCCACTACTTTAGGTGATGGCTGAGCTGCAGTCTTTGCTGCATCATTGTACTCACTCTACAGGGAGTGCAGAATTATTAGGCAAATGAGTATTTTGTCCACATCATCCTCTTCATGCATGTTGTCTTACTCCAAGCTGTATAGGCTCGAAAGCCTACTACCAATTAAGCATATTAGGTGATGTGCATCTCTGTAATGAGAAGGGGTGTGGTCTAATGACATCAACACCCTATATCAGGTGTGCATAATTATTAGGCAACGTCCTTTCCTTTGGCAAAATGGGTCAAAAGAAGGACTTGACAGGCTCAGAAAAGTCAAAAATAGTGAGATATCTTGCAGAGGGATGCAGCAGTCTCAAAATTGCAAAGCTTCTGAAGCGTGATCATCGAACAATCAAGCGTTTCATTCAAAATAGTCAACAGGGTTGCAAGAAGCGTGTGGAAAAACCAAGGCGCAAAATAACTGCCCATGAACTGAGAAAAGTCAAGCGCGCAGCTGCCAAGATGCCACTTGCCACCAGTTTGGCCATATTTCAGAGCTGCAACATCACTGGAGTGCCCAAAAGCACAAGGTGTGCAATACTCAGAGACATGGCCAAGGTAAGAAAGGCTGAAAGACGACCACCACTGAACAAGACACACAAG